TATAGTTTAGTTTATATTCTATTCTATAGTCTAGTCTATCGTCTAGTCTATAGTCTGGTCTATAGTCTGGTCTATAGTCTGGTCTATAGTCTAGTCTATAATCTAGTCTATAGTCTAGTCTATAGTCTAGTCTATAGTCTAGTCTATAGTCTAGTCTATAGTCTAGTCTATAGTCTAGTCTATAGTCTAGTCTATAGTCTAGTCTATAGTCTAGTCTATAGTCTAGTCTATAGTCTAGTCTATAGTCTAGTCTATAGTCTAGTCTATAGTCTAGTCTATAGTCTAGTCTATAGTCTAGTCTATAGTCTAGTCTATAGTCTAGTCTATTGTCTAGTCTATACTCTAGTCTATAGTCTAGTCTATAGTCTGGTCTAGTCTATAGTCTGGTCTAGTCTATAGTCTGGTCTAGTCTATAGTCTGGTCTAGTCTATAGTCTGGTCTAGTCTATAGTCTAGTCTATAGTCTAGTATATAGTCTAGTCTATAGTCTAGTCTATAGTCTAGTCTATAGTCTAGTCTAGTCTATAGTCTGGTCTAGTCTATAGTCTGGTCTAGTCTATAGTCTGGTCTAGTCTATAGTCTGGTCTAGTCTATAGTCTAGTCTAGTCTAGTCTATAGTCTGGTCTATAGTCTAGTCTATAGTCTAGTCTATAGTCTAGTCTATAGTCTAGTCTATAGTCTAGTATATAGTCTAGTCTAGTCTATAGTCTAGTCTAGTCTATAGTCTGGTCTAGTCTATAGTCTGGTCTAGTCTATAGTCTGGTCTAGTCTATAGTCTGGTCTAGTCTATAGTCTGGTCTAGTCTATAGTCTGGTCTAGTCTATAGTCTAGTCTAGTCTATAGTCTAGTCTATAGTCTAGTCTATAGTCTAGTCTATAGTCTAGTCTATAGTCTAGTCTATAGTCTAGTCTAGTCTATAGTCTAGTCTATAGTCTAGTCTATAGTCTAGTCTATAGTCTAGTCTATAGTCTAGTCTATAGTCTAGTCTATAGTCTAGTCTATAGTCTAGTCTATAGTCTAGTCTATAGTCTAGTCTATAGTCTAGTCTATAGTCTAGTCTATAGTCTAGTCTATAGTCTAGTCTAGTCTATAGTCTAGTCTATAGTCTAGTCTATAGTCTAGTCTATAGTCTAGTCTATAGTCTAGTCTATAGTCTAGTCTATAGTCTAGTTAGTCTATAGTCTAGTCTATAGTCTAGTCTATAGTCTAGTCTATAGTCTAGTCTATAGTCTAGTCTATAGTCTAGTCTATAGTATAGTCTATAGTCTATAGTCTAGTCTATAGTCTAGTCTATAGTCTATTCTATAGTCTAGTCTATAGTCTAGTCTATAGTCTAGTCTATAGTCTAGTCAATAGTCTAGTCTATAGTCTAGTCTATAGTCTAGCCTATAGTCTACTCTATAGTCTAGTCTATAGTCTAGCCTATAGTCTACTCTATAGTCTAGTCTATAGTCTAGTCTATAGTCTAGTCTATAGTCTAGTCTATAGTCTAGTCTATAGTCTAGTCTATAGTCTAGTCTATAGTCTAGTCTATAGTCTAGTCTATAGTCTAGTCTATAGTCTAGTCTATAGTCTAGTCTATTGTCTAGTCTATAGTCTAGTCTATAGTCTAGTCTATAGTCTAGTCTATAGTCTAGTCTATAGTCTAGTCTATAGTCTAGTCTATAGTCTAGTCTATAGTCTAGTCTATAGTCTAGTCTATAGTCTAGTCTATAGTCTAGTCTATAGTCTAGTCTATAGTCTAGTCTATAGTCTAGTCTATAGCTAGTCTATAGTCTAGTCTATAGTCTAGTCTATAGTCTAGTCTATAGTCTAGTCTAAGTTAGTCTATAGTCTAGTCTATAGTCTAGTCTATAGTATAGTATATAGTCTAGTCTAGTCTATAGTCTAGTCTATAGTCTAGTCTATAGTCTAGTCTATAGTCTAGTCTATAGTCTAGTCTATAGTCTTGTCTATAGTCTAGTCTATAGTCTAGTCTATCTGTCCTATAGTCTAGTCTATAGTCTAGTCTATAGTCTAGTCTAGAGTAGTCTATAGTCTATCTAGTCTATAGTCTAGTCTATAGTCTAGTCTATAGTCTAGTCTATAGTCTAGTCTAAGTCTAGTCTATAGTCTAGTCTATAGTCTAGTCTATAGTCTAGTCTATAGTCTAGTCTATAGTCTAGTCTATAGTCTAAGTCTATAGTCTAATCTATAGTCTAATCTATAGTCTAGTCTATAGTCTAGTCTATAGTCTAGTCTATAGTCTAGTCTATAGTCAGTCTATAGTCTAGTTCCATAGTCTAGTCTATAGTCTAGTATATAGTCTAGTATATAGTCTAGTCTATAGTCTAGTCTATAGTCTAGTCTATAGTCTAGTCTATAGTCTAGTCTATAGTCTAGTCTAGTCGGCTATAGTCTAGTCTATAGTCTATAGTCTAGTCTATAGTCTAGTCTATAGTCTAGTCTATAGTCTAGTCTATAGTCTAGTCTATAGACTAGACTAGTCTAGACTATAGACTAGGACTAGTCTAGACTAGTCTAGACTAGTCTAGTCTAGTCTAGACTAGTCTAGTCTATAGTCTAGTCTATAGTCTAGTCTATAGTCTAGTCTAGACTAGTCTAGTCTATAGTCTAGTCTAGACTAGTCTAGTCTATAGTCTAGTCTATAGTCTAGTCTATAGTCTAGTCTATAGTCTAGTCTATAGTCTAGTCTATAGTCCTAGTCTTTTGTCTAGTCTACAGTCTAGTCTATAGTCTAGTCTATAGTCTAGTCTATAGTCTAGTCTTTAGTCTAGTCTATAGTCTAGTCTATAGTCTAGTCTATAGTCTAGTCTATAGTCTAGTCTATAGTCTAGTCTATAGTCTAGTCTATAGTCTAGTCTATAGTCTAGTCTGTAATCTAGTCTATAGTCTAGTCTATAGTCTAGTCTATAGTCTAATCTGTAGTCTAATCTATAGTCTAATCTATAGTCTAGTCTATAGTCTAATCTATAGTCTAGTCTATAGTCTAGTCTATAGTCTGGTCTAGTCTAGTCTAGTCATAGTCTAGTCTATAGTCTAGTCTATAGTCTAGTCTATAAGTCTAGTCTATAGTCTAGTCTATAGTCTAGTCTATAGTCTAGTCTATAGTCTAGTCTATAGTCTAGTCTATAGTCTAGTCTATAGTCTAGTCTTTTGTCTAGTCTACAGTCTAGTCTATAGTCTAGTCTATAGTCTAGTCTATAGTCTAGTCTATAGTCTATTCTATAGTCTAGTCTATAGTCTAGTCTATAGTCTAGTCTATAGTCTAGTCTATAGTCTAGTCTTATAGTCTAGTCTATAGTCTAGTCTATAGTCTAGTCTATAGTCTAGTCTATAGTCTAGTCTATAGTCTAGTCTATAGTCTAGTCTATAGTCTAGTCTATAGTCTAGTCTATAGTCTAGTCTATAGTCTAGTCTATAGTCTAGTCTATAGTCTAGTCTATAGTCTAGTCTATAGTCTAGTCTATAGTCTAGTCTATAGTCTAGTCTATAGTCTAGTCTATAGTCTAGTCTATAGTCTAGTCTAGTCTAGTCTATAGTCTAGTCTATAGTCTAGTCTATAGTCTAGTCTATAGTCTAGTCTATAGTCTAGTCTATAGTCTAGTCTATAATCTAGTCTATAGTCTGGACTATAGTCTAGTCTATAGTATAGTCTGTAGTATAGTATAGTCTGTAGTATAGTATAGTCTATAGTCTGGACTATAGTTTATTCTATATTTTGCGCTATAGTTTAGTTTATAGTTTGGCCTATAATTCAAGTCCATAGTCTGAACCATAGTTTAGTCTATAGTCTGGACTATATAAATAGTCTATAACCTATAATCTGAAATATATTCTATAGAATGATGTCTTAACAAAACACTTTTCTAAAAAATTTCATCATTCCAAATGTCGTCACATGTTTTTGCAAAATTTTAAAATTATTAAAACATATTTTTTTATGATTCGTTTTTTTTTTTTTTTCATAAACAAAAACATTTCAAAATTGATTCATGTCTGTTGATTCATAAACAACATACATATTTTGCCATTAGCTTAATGTTGTTTACTTTTAGCAAACATTTTTTCTTTTAAATTCAAAACTGAAAAAATATTTGTATTTTGACAAAACAAAATTTATCTTAGATCTTAACGATTGTTGACTATATATTTTTATCTTGGCTAACAATAGAATTATGTTGGCGTAAGTTTAAAAATATCTACAACAAAATAAATAAACAAATAAAACACAGATTTTTTTAATTAATATTGAGATCAAATTATTTATATTTCTTTTTTTTTTCAAATGATATTTTTTCTTTTTTTTTTTTTTCTTTTGCATAAACTTTTTTCAAAAACAACTTAATTTCATAATAAATTTTTAATTTTTCACAAGGCGGGTGTTTAGGGTTTTAACTTAATTTATATAATAAACATTTCTTTTATGATTTTTAAAAAATTTAAGGGTGGAAGAACTTTATAGGCATTTTTTTAGAAGGAAGATTAATTACAACAAAAATTATAAAAGGCATTAAGAGTTATAACAAAATTGTACTAAAAAATTATAAAAAAAATTCAACAATTTAATTAATTTACTAAGATTTTTTTAAAAACTATAGGAAAAAAACACTTTTTTTGGGGGGAAAAAAGTGTAAACTGGTAACTTGGAAGGGCGGGGGATTGGAAAAAGACACACTTAAGGCCTTTAGCCTATGTTTAAGGTGTCCAACAGACAGTCTTACACTCTCTCACTTAGAAGGTGGGTTTTCAAGGAGTTGAGTTTCTTAAGAAAGAAACGAAGAAGGCGTTGGCGAAACAGCAATGACATTAACCCGTGGCTAGGAGCTGACGTTTTGTTTAGTTGGAGGAGAACTTTGACCCTTTTTGATTTAACGAAGAGCAACTATAACAACGAAGCTAGCGCGCCAGCGCTTAAAAAAGATTACAAGAGTCTTTAGCTTCGAGCATAAGCTACAAACTTATGCTGGCTGCTTAGTGTTGAGAAAGACAACACCAGGGTCAACCCATTTCAGCATAAGAATCATTAACATAATTCAGACTTAAGGTACTGCAGGAATAATCCAAAGGCTGTACGCCATCATCTTCCACAATATCCATACAATCCATTGCATCATTGTCGCTCAGACAATCATCCTCATCATCGGGTATGGCCACATCAACGGGTATATACATATGGAAGGGTTTTTGTTCTTTTAACCAGGGTGAGAGGAAGATATGCTCTATGGGCACACGATCAGAAATGTTTTTCCTTAGTAAAGATAATAAAAGCCAGCGGGCGGAACGTGATAGATGACCGGGTAGTTGTACAAAACATTGTCTAATAATGGTAATGAGATTGCTATTGCCTTTCTCGAAGAAAGGATATTGACCCACCAACATGGTGTAGAGTATTACACCCAAAGCCCACATATCAGCAGGTTTGCCTTTATAGGTGGGTTCTGGGCAGAGTAATTCGGGGGCGGTGTATAGAGGGCAGCCAATTTTTTCACTTAAAGTATCATCCTCAGGATTATCCAGGATCATGGAACCTTCTAGAGATTCATATTGAAGTTTGGTTCTAAAAAGGGAAAAGAAAATTGAGAAAAAAATTAGTAATTTATTAAAGAAAAGAAAAAATAATAAGAATATTTAAGTTTTGCCAAGAAAATTAAAGAAACTAGTTAAAAAAAGAAGTTATTCTTACAAAATTTTAAAGAAAAAAATTGCTTAAAACTTTAGTAAAGAGTAAACTAGAGTTTTTAAGAGAATGCTAGCTGACAACTTGACCTCATTTGTTG